CGTGATATGAGCTTCATAAGTGTTTGGGGACCCTGGCTACTCCAGAGTCAGCATTTCCATTGAACCTTCCGATTCTTCCCTTCCACCTCTGCATTCACAGCCCAATTCTTTCCTTAAGGAATAAGGGATGGAAAATCGTTCCCTTAGAAAGTCTTAAATTTAGCTTAATCTGGGTAGGGAAGGAAGGAAAGGAGGGAGGGAGGGAAGGAAGGAAGGAAAAAGGGAAGGGAGGGAGGGATAAATGAAAGTAAGAAAAGGGAGGAAGGGAAGGAAGGGAGGAAAGAAGAGAAGAAGGGAAGAGGGAAGGAAGGAAAAGGAGGAAAAGGAGGAAAAAGGAGGGAAGGAAGAAAGAAAGGTACTATGTCTGTTGGCATTTTAAAAAATTAATGTGTACCAGGCATCCTTCCCTCTCCTCCTCTCCCATTCCCTCCCTTCTCTTTCCTTCTCCTCCCCACTATTCTCCTCCTCTCTCCTTCCTCCCATCTCCTCTCTCCTCTCCTCTATCTATCTCCCTTTTTCTCTCTCTCTTGTACTCTCATAAACACAACTACACCCTTCTTAAGGACAAAGCCATGAATTTGCTGCATGTTGTAAACAACAGGAGGCAGGGGGGATAGGTAGAAACACAAACCCAGCAAAGCATCTTTTCATAGCAGCATAAGCCTTGACAGTGACATCCCAGTAACTCTCAAAAATTTTGGAAGAGGAGAGATGGAATTTTGTTTTTAGCCACAGCTACAAGTAATAAAGAAGATTCTGCTCTGATTTGCTATTTTGATATTCTCACAGGGCAAACTGAAGTTTATTCAAATATTTATCCATCCAACAAATATTTATTTCATACCTGCGTGGGTCAGGCGATGCTGTGTGTAGAACAGAAAGAAACAGCTTCTCCTCTCAAGAAATGGTGCATGTTGCTGTAAGAGAGAGAACCAAAACCAAAATTATAACACTGTAGCTTATCTGTTTTAGAGGGATTTGTGGGAGGCCACAGGAGCATAGAGGCAGGTATGCCTCACAGACCTCAGCAAAGGGAATGAAGAGCATTGGAGAAGGCTTTTTGGAAGAAGTGATGCTTGGTTGAGTTCTGAAAAAGAAAAGGGGTTGGACAAGTGGAGAAAAAGTAATGACATTTCCAGCAGGAGGAATAGCATCTGAAAAGCTCAAAGACACGAGAAATGTTACCTTAGTGAACTGCAAGCTATACAGTCCTGCTATATGATAGAGTGAGAAAGCAGTAGGATAGGAGGCTAGAGAAATCATCAGGGACATCTGCAAAGGGGCTAGGTTCTCGACAGTTACAAAGAAATCACTGAAAGTTTTAAAGGCAGCCAGGGCTTCTGATTCCAATTGTCTTATCTCTGAGAGATGACAGGAAAGCTACTTTAAATATACCCCTTGGGGTTGTTAGGCTTGGATGTGACCATCCCCCCACTGAGAGAGAATCACCCTTTCTCCCATAAGTGGACACTAAAGTGGGTTCCTCATCAAGCCAGTACTTGGTGATTAGCACCGAGAAGATGGTAACCATCTAAAGGTTTTAAGTTGGCACTGCCAGAAATTCCTCCAGACCAGCTGCTCAACCCACCAGGAGCACAGCAATGGGATTTCAAAATTCTGATTTCCCAGGCCCACTGACATTGTTTAGAGGGTAGATTCCAGTGCACAGCTGTAAGAAAAAGACAACAGCCTTTTCATAAAGAAATGCCAAGAAATTCAGTGTGGAATCTATAACGGAAACATTTGGCTTCTAGGGTAGTAAGTCCACAGTGTGTCATTTGCTGTTGAAATGTGGAGCCAGCATTTATGTGAAGCCTCTTGGTCCTCACCTCAACTATTGTCTACTGTATTTTTATTCATAATATTCCCCCTTCATTCATAATTTGAAACCCCTCTCTCTTTAATTTAGCTACTGATTTTATTTGTGGAAGCTGTACCTTTTACTTATTTAGCTAGCATTTATTTAATAAAGGGATCTGGGCGGGGCACCCATAGCATTCTCTACTGACATGGCCACAGTACTGCCTCTCTGAGTTATAAACCAATGCTCTTTCTTGATTTGCCTACCAACAGCAACAAAAAAAAAGGAGGGAAATGGTCAAAAGTGTTAGCAGAATTACCAACACCATCACTGATACTATTTACTGAACAATATGACATTATGTTAAAAAAAATCACTCTATCAACTATGTGAACAGATTAAACAGGATGTGAGGACCATTAGATAAAAGTATCAGAGCCATATTAGAAACCTGATTCAAAGAGAGATGATTCTCATCAGGAAGACACTTTTTCCAACGTGAATCTTCTCTCTCCATCCATCTCTTGTCACAGTTTAATGGGCAATCCACAATCTCATTCCCCCAACCCCAGTGAGGTAACTTTCCCAATATCTCTTACAAGCTGCATTAAAATTTCTTTCAGGAAAAAAATTTGTTTTATGTCACATATTATTATGTCACAAGATAAGGATTAAAAGATAGACACCCTCAGAAGTAAGATAGTAACTTAATTCACACGAAGGGGTACGTTGTCAATGACAGATTAGTGTCTGACAGGTGGACAGCAGAGGAACAAAAACAGGAAAGTGGGATAAAAAAGGGAGCTAAAAAGACATAGGATTGATTTCATTTTCATTTAGCTCTGTTTTTGTCCTATATCTCTTTCTACATCAGGGCTGCCGGAATATTTGAGAAGGACATGCTCTTGAGTTTAGTAGTGCTTAAATCCCAAGGTCAGGGGTATAATCACTGTATCGGGGGCACTGTTTCTGACCTCACAAGGCCCAGCAAAATTAAACGTAGTTGATACCTCCTTTCTTTTCCTAAACCTAGATACATCGCTTTGAGTTTGGGGTCCTCCCTTTCTCATAGAGGCCGTGTTTAGGTGGTTAAGAACCACTTCAGAGCCTCAGGCATAAGCTTTAGGACATGAGCTGGGGTTAAAGAAGAGTCTGTATACTGGCATTCAAGATCAAGTATTGCAAACATTTTCTGTAAAGGGCCAGATGGTAAATATTTTAGACTTTACGGACAAGGCAGTTTCCATCACAATTATTCAATTGTACTTTTGTAACACAAAAGCAGCCATCAACAATATATAAGTGAACAGGCATGGCTATGCTACAATAAAACTTTATCTGTGGCACCAGAATTGGAATTTTATATGACTTGCATGCACCATGAAATAATATTCTTCTTTGGATTTATTTCCCAACCATATAAAAAAGTACAAAACTGTTATTAGCTTGCTGACTACCAAAATAAGCGGCAGGCCAGATGTGGGCCTCAGCTAACAGTTTGTGGATCTCTGTTCCCGATCAAACGAAATTTGAAAGAGCACATGCTCTGACAATGTGAAACAAGTAGGAAGAATGTTCCCCAGAACTTGGAAACGTCTGAGTTAAATCAATTCTAGTAAAAAAATGTTTTCTCCTCTGAGAGGATATCCTCGATCAAATTCCAAGCTAAGATTTTCAAGTTAGAAGCCTGCTCTAATGGACACACAGGGCTCATTTGAAATAGCAGCAATGTGAAGTACAAATTAAAAAAAACAAAACAAAACAATTTGTTCTCTTAAATGATTTAAAGGCAGTTTCTACTCTCTAGTTTACAGGATCCATTTCCAGAGAAATACTTTCCTTCCTAAGTTATGCAAAGTCCACTTAAGCTCAACCCTGGGCAAATTTTCACCCTTAAGTCAAGTTCAGACCAGTGAGTTTTTAGGGAATTTCATGCATTCAGGAGATGAATGAAGAGGGTGCGTTCGGTTTTCCTTGAGCTTCGTAAGGTCTGCTTCTCCCAGGGCCTCTTTTTTTCTAATAAGGAACAGTTTTTCAAAGCATCTCTAATCTTTACTAATGTGATCTGTGTAAATGGTTTAGACCTAGAAACTGACAAAATCCCAATATAAACTATAAAACAGACCTCCCAGAGGATATTAAGGCAGAA